CCCCAAAACCCCAAAACCCCAAAACCCCAAAACCCCAATTTTAACTAGAATTTTTGAAATCAGCTATTTTTGCATACTATTAAGCTTTAACCAAGCTTATACCTTCTCTATAAAGACTGCAGGGGTCCTTGACTCCAGAGGGTTTCCCTTTAAGCTTCTTCTGGGTGTCACTCACCTCTGTGGATTGGGTTGTACCTGCAGATAGCCAGGATATCATCTTTTTAATATCATGCGTATCGACTGTAACTGATTTGATATACTCATTACGCAAATCAACAGTGTATTTAGTAGCCTTCTGTGTTGCCTCAATCAGTTTCTCAAGCTTGAGCTCCCTGGCTTTATACACATGGGTTTTGGAATCCTTCTTTCCTTCCTGATTACTCTTGATCTTCAGGTTAGAGATCATACTCTGGTGATTCTTGACTATCTTCCTGAGTCTGTAGCAGATGCTGATCACGAACTCGGGGAAACCAATGTTAGCGCCCCTGTTGTAGTTAAGAGCAATTGAGACTTTCAAACAGTTCAAAAGTTCTTGGAAGTACTTGTTGACCATAACTCCACTGTTGTACTGCTCCTTAGTGATTTGGATTAGGTTTCCGCTTGTTTTAAGATCTTTCTTTTTGGCAGATTCAGGATCCTTGTTGAAAAATTTATCATTCTTCTCTAAAATTGATAAAATGTAAGATGAGATTGTTAGATTGGTCGTCTGGTTATCATTTTCAAGGTACTTTCAGTATATATAAAGAGTCTTATTGTACAACTTAACCAAACGAAGTAAGTAAGGCATAAAGATAGTAATCTCAGTTCCAATAAAGGCCAGTGTCTCAGAGATCAATAATAGAACGCTTTCATAACTATCTCTGATAGGGTTCTCTACTTTTCCTTCAATTTCATAAGCATTGATAAAAGTGGACAAATATTGCAAAATGCCAATATAGTTTTCTGAGATGATTTCATCAGCTACTTTTTCTGACACATCTGTTTTGTTCTTCAAAATCTTCAATCTATACTTCCGACAGACATTTTTCAGGAAGCTGTAGCAGCTAAACTGATATTGCCTATGTGCAAGTTTCTTTGCAATCTTGACTGTCTCTTTTGTCATCTTCTGAATTGTCAAATCATTAAAATCTGTGTAAGAAATTAAGTTCAAGTATGCATTGAGCACAATATCGATACAAATTTTATTCTGTTTTCAGTTCAATTCCATATAGGATGACACTAATTTCTGGGATAAGGAGCCATCTTTAAGTGCAACTAACAGCATTGTAATGATCCTAGTTCCAATTTTCTGAGTCTTGATGACTGATAGCATAGCTGCTAGACTTGGTAAATCAACTTCAACATCTTCTTGTTTATCAATTTCAGAGTAAATAGTTGCGAATAATTCTAAATATTTCATGATAATAGCTTTGTTCTCAGCTGTAAGGGTTTCGCTATGACCTTCTTCATCATCCATTTCTTCCTTGTTTACTTTCTTGAGATCTCTCTTTTTCTGGGAGACTGTATAGCTTGGAATCATAGATTTGACAATGAGCTCTGGAAGTATCACCAAAAAGAACAAATAGATGTCATCTAAGTTGCTAATAGGCTTTAATTGGGCATTTCCCTCAGCAGTTACCTTGCCGCTCTTCAGATTATTGACAATCAAGATCAAACTGATAATTTCCTTGGACTTTGCAGAACTTTTCATGATCGACTTCATTATTTTCTTCACATTCAGCTTGTTTGTAGCAACAAAAGCTCCTTCATTACGTGTCATTACTAGAGGAATAAGTGGTTGGCTTACTGTCCCCAATTTCAATAGTATCGATTGCCTTAAGCTCAGCCTGCTCAATGTCTAAAGCTTATAGTCAGTCCTTACCTTTATCAACTTTAGTGTTCTCTTTAACTTCGATCTCAATTCCTTTAAAAGTCTCGTTAATAGCTTTCCTCTATATATAATCCTTCTGAAGCTCTTACGATTTCCTTCCTTCTCTCAGCCTGCTCCTGTATGGCTTCATTAATCTTTTTCTTCTTCTCAAGGAGGGCGTCCTGGTGCACCTTCTCCTCCTCTTCGTGCGTGTTAAGGTCTAGAAGGGATTAGGGGAGTCTAGAAGAGGCTTACTGTCTTCTACAGCGGTTCTTTCCTTTATTCTGTAGCCCTTCTTTTTGGATCTTTGGTGGAAGAGTCTTTTCTTCTTGGAGTCAACCCTTGAACGCTTCTTCTTTGTGACAGCCATTATTTGGAGTGTTTCAAAATATTGTAATGTAAACGGGGTTTTGGGGTTTTGGGGTTTTGGGGTTTTGGGG